TATTGCTATTGTGGCGGTAGTACATATAGTGACCCTCGGGTTACGGGCTAAAAAACAAACTTTTGTTAATGTTAGTCTTTCAAACGTCTCTCAACTTAAAGAACCTTAATGCTAGATTGTCTTTTGCAGTTTGGGCCACTAGGTAATCGCCGTAATATTTTTTGCAAATCGGTAACGGAGAATGGAACCCACAAAAATTAAGTAGCATTGTACTTGTATACCAACGGTTTAAATTTGGAACTGAATCGATTAAGACCTGACCGACTTCGCTTAATTCATCAAAGAAAAAAATTTCTTTCTTGTATTCTAATCTTTTGATCTGTTCTTATTTCAGTCTTTACCTCGAGTGCCACCATCTTTTGAGAGTTTTCTTGTCATGGTTGTTCACTGTGCTTACATTACCTGTTTTCAATCGATAGGACCAAAAATCGATTTACATTCCCACAATGACTCGAATTTACATTTTGCTTTGTTGAAGATTTGAGGTTCATTGTCGCTATTGTTAGGTGACGTTTTTTTAGGGTTTGTCAAAAAGGTTTTGATGTCGCCAACGGACAAACGGACACTTAAGAAAAACATTGTCCTCTACAAAATGGAATCACGACAGACAGAAGACATTGTTTATGGAATGTTTCAGGCTGACTTTCATTTCTTTTCATTTTATGGCAGTCTTTTTAAGGATCATTCATTTTTGTTTGTATTTTTTCAGTTTATTAATAACAGTGTCTTTTGTCTGTAGCATTGCATTTTCTTTTTCTTGACTTCATTCTTTCAAATATTCTTCTTTATACAAACGTATTCTTTTTTCTTGAAAGTTTTGATCTATTCCTTGTTTTCGACTATACACTCCAACATTCCATTCTATTCTTTGCTTATTCCAATGTACTTATCATTACTTTCTAATCTTCCTTACTCATTCCTTTCTGTTCTTTGCTTATTCCAACGTCCTTACTCATTCCTTTCTATTCTTTGCTTATTCCAATGTCCTTACTCATTTCTTTGCTTATTCCAATATTCTTACTCATTTCTTTCTATTCTTTGCTTATTCCAACGTCCTTATTCATTTCTTGCTATTCTTTGCTTATTCCAATATTCTTACCCATTCCTTTCTATTCTTTGCTTATTCCAATGTCCTTACTCATTTCTTGCTATTCTTTGCTTATTCCAATATTCTTACCCATTCCTTTCTATTCTTTGCTTATTCCAATGTCCTTACTCATTTCTTGCTATTCTTTTGCTTATTCAATATTCTTACCCATTCCTTTCTATTCTTTGCTTATTCCAATGTCCTTACTCATTTCTTGCTATTCTTTGCTTATTCAAATATTCTTACCCATTCCTTTCTATTCTTTGCTTATTCCAATGTCCTTACTCATTTCTTGCTATTCTTTGCTTATTCCAATATTCTTACCCATTCCTTTCTATTCTTTTGCTTATTCCAATGTCCTACTCATTTCTTGCTATTCTTTGCTTATTCCAATATTCTTACCCATTCCTTTCTATTCTTTTGCTTATTCCAATGTCCTTACTCATTTCTTGCTATTCTTTGCTTATTCCAATATTCTTACCCATTCCTTTCTATTCTTTGCTTATTCCAATATTCTTACCCATTCCTTTCTATTCTTTGCTTATTCCAATGTCCTTACTCATTTCTTTTTGCTATTCTTTTTGCTTATTCCAATATTCTTACCCATTCCTTTCTATTCTTTGCTTATTCCAATGTCCTTACTCATTTCTTGCTATTCTTTGCTTATTCCAATATTCTTACCCATTCCTTTCTATTCTTTGCTTATTCCAATGTCCTTACTCATTTCTTGCTATTCTTTGCTTATTCCAATATTCTTACCCATTCCTTTCTATTCTTTGCTTATTCCAATGTCCTTACTCATTTCTTTGCTTATTCCAATATTCTTACTCATTCCTTTCTATTCTTTGCTTATTCCAATGTTCTAACTCATTCCTTTCAATTTTTTGCATATTCTAATGTTCTTACTCTATCCTTTCTATTCTTTGGTTATTCCAATGTCCTTACTCATTCCTTTCCATTATTTGCTTATTCCAATGTTCTTACTCTTTTCTTTTTATACTTTGCTTATTCCAATGTCCTTACTCATTCATTTCTATTCTTTGCTTATTCCAATGTCCTTATTCATTTCTTTCTTTTCTTTGCTTATTCCAATTTCCTTACTCATTTTTTTATATTCTTTGCTTGTTCCAATGTTATTACTCTTTCCTTTTTATTATTTGCTTATTCCAATGTCCTTACTCTTCCCGTTTTAATTTCTGCTTATGCCTATGTCATTGCTCATTCCTTTCTATTCTTTGCTTATTCCAATGTCCTTACTCATTCTTTTCTATTCTTTGCTTATTTGAATGTTCTTCCTCATTCATTTCTATTCTTTGCTTATTCCAATGTCCTTACTCATTCATTTCTATTCTTTGCTTATTCCAATGTCCTTACTCATTCATTTCTATTCTTTGCTTATTCCAATGTCCTTACTCATTCCTTTCTATTCTTTGCTTTTTCCAATGTTCTTACTCTTTCTTTTCTATTCTTTGATTATTCCAAACTCCTTACTCATGCCTTTCTTTTCTTTGTTTATTTCAATGTTCTTACATATTCTTTTCCATTCTTGATTATTCCTATATCCTTGCTTATTCATTTCTATTCTTTACTTATTCCAATGTTCTCACTCATTCCTTTCTTTTCTTTGCATATTCCTATGCCCTCACTCATTCCTTTCCATTCTTTGCTTATTCCAATGTTCTTACATATTTCTTTCTATTCTTTGTTTCTTTTGTCCTTACTTCTTTATACGATAATATATGCTTCGTTGAAGTTTTCCAATTTGGAGATTTTGTTTTACGAATGGATCCTAAAAATATTTCTTCCTGATAAAAAAGAAAACCTTCTTTCCCCGAAAATATGATGATTTATCATTTTTATTCCCTCAATGTAAGCATCTAGAACCACTCAAAGTAGAGGGTACTTACGGCCATATCACATTAAAAGAAGCAGCGTCGAGAGTAGATGAATGACCGACTGGGAATACCATTTGCTGTAAGCCTGGGTGTGCGGGTGGCGTAATGGATAATGGCTCAGAATTGTTAATCGGAGAGCCGAGTTTCAATTCCAGTTGGGTTCGTTATATTCACTTACACGCAAATACACCCGGGAAAGATATGAACCAGCCTCTTTTCACGCAGCTATGGGTTAATTAGTAAATCTTGTTGCACTAAATCATTATCATAGTCCCCCCTTACAACCTAAAAATATTTTCTGGCTTTAAATAAACCACAAAGGGTTGGTAAGCCATAAAAACCATATCTATCAATCAATAAACTAATGATTAGTTACACAAGGATGTCTTTTTAGATTTATTTGCATTTTCTGGAATATAGATGTATTGATTGATTTATTCATTTTGTTTAACGGCACATTAATAATTTATGGGTCATTTAATGCCCAAATTTAATTGTCTTGAGTGCGTTGAAATAATAAAAATAGGATATATGTTATTCTGCTTTTACAATTGAATACATGGTAGCTGATACGCAGCTTTTGTGCATATACATATTTGTGAGGTGGTGATATGTGTGTTTTATGTTTTGCAGTTATATTTTTGAATTCAATTTGAGTTCTTTAATAAATTGTAGGATATCATATGGATTAATATCATAAAATAATTCTTTTATGTTGGTTGTTTGGTTGATTTTGTTTAGCGGCATACCAGCACTTCTGTGGGTTATTTAATGCAATACAGTTTTGTATGTGGAAGATTATATATATATATATATATATATATATATATATATATTTTTGTGTAAATAATTTGAACCCATTTGTATACCTTCATCTTTAGATAAAATATATTGCTGTTTCTTTTTTATATAAAAATGAATTGCTATTGTTTTTACTATTTCTATCTATAAATCTCAAAATGTATGTGTGTGTGTTAAAAGCTGAATAGGTTAAAATTTCGAGGAACCATCCACTCGGGAGTTCTGGGGATGAAGCCCTCTGAGTGAAACTTTTTACTTTGCTAAGGATTACGAACGATAAGAGAGATTTGACGCGTGTGTTTGGTAAGGCGAGTCTTAGATGTGAAGGCCAACAATGGTGGAACGAACGAATGTAGTTCCCCTGGACATCTGTGCTGAAAGTAACGAAAGTGTTGTAGGATGAAAAATAATTCATCACCCAAAAGGCCGTGTAATCACATTTGAAAACTGAAAGTGAGGATTTAGTCAGAGATGGGCGAACGAGATAGATTGTAATGTTTTCTAGTGACTTCTGGTATAAATTATTCTATTTTCTTCGCAGCGGATGTCATAACAAATTCACTGAGACAAAACTCCATTGCTAATTAGTCGAGTGTTATTTTTTTGCTGACATCTTCAAGAAAATATTCTTATTCCAAATTTGTCTATGTTATATTTTTTTCTAACTTCTTCTTTGAAAGTTTTGTTTCCTTATTTTTAATTTGGTATCTCACCATTTTTTATTTTGTAACTTTCCTGTTTTTTTTTCTTTACTTGCTTCAAAATTCTGTTTTTACATCTTGTCTTAGATTCTCTCCCATTTTTACTTTTCTTCTTTTCTCTCTTTCTAGTCTTTTTCTCTCTTTTCTTTTTTTTTCTCTCTCTCTTCTTTCTTCCACTTTTTTCTTGTTTTCTCTCTCTTTGTCTCTTTTATTTGTCTTCTTTTTCCATCTCTCTTCTTGTTTTTCGTCTCGTCTTCTCTATTTTCTTTGTTCTCTCTTTTCGTCTTTCTTTCGCTTTCTCTTGTCTTGTCTTCTCGTTTCTGGTCACGTCTTCTTTTTTTTATTCTTTTTTCTGTTATTGTCTCTCTTTCTCTATTCTTGTCCCTCTTCTTTTTTTCGTGTTTCGTCTCGTCTTTTCCCTTTTCTTTTTCTTCTCTATGTCTATCTTTTTCTATTCTTGTCCCTCTTCTTTTTTTCGTGTTTCGTCTCGTCTTTTCCCTTTTCTTTTTCTTCTCTATGTCTCTCTTTCTCTATTCTTGTCCCTCTTCTTTTTTTCGTGTTTCGTCTCGTCTTTTCCCTTTTCTTTTTCTTCTCTATGTCTCTCTTTCTCTTTTTCTTGTCCCTCTTTCTTTTTTTTCGTGTTTCGTCTCGTCTTTTCCCTTTTCTTTTTTCTCTATGACTCTCTTTCTCTTTTTCTTGTCCCTCTTCTTTTTTTTTTCGTCTGTTTCTTTTCCCTTTTCTTTTTCTTTTCTTCTCTTTTTTCGTGTCTCTCTTTTTTTTTTTGTCCCTCTTCTTTTTTTTTCTTGTTTCGTCTCGTCTTTTCCTTTTCTTTTTTCTTGTCCTTTCTCTTTTCTTGTCCCTTTCTTTTTTTCGTGTTTCGTCTCGTCTTTTCCTTTTCTTTTTCTTTCTCTATGTCTCTCTTTTCTTTTCTTGTCCCTCTTCTTTTTCTTTTCTTGTCCCTCTTTTCTTTTTTTTTCGTGTTTCGTCTCTTCTTTTTCCCTTTTCTTTTTTCTTTTTTCTTCTCCTTTGTTTCTTCTCTTTCTCTTTTTCTTGTCCCTCTTCTTTTTTTTCGTGTTTCGTCTCGTCTTTTCCCTTTTCTTTTTCTTCTCTATGTCTCTCTTTTTCTTTTCTTGTCCCTCTTCTTTTTTTTTCGTGTTTCGTCTCGTCTTTTTCCCTTTTCTTTTTTCTTCTCTATGTCTCTCTTTCTCTTTTCTTTCCCTCTTGTGTTTCCTCGTCTTTTCCCTTTTTTCTTTTCTTTCTCTATGTCTCTCTTCTCGTCTTTCCCTTTTCTCTTTTCCTTTTCTTTTTTCGTGTCTATCTTTTCTTTTTTTTTTTTTTTTTTCTTTTTCGTTTTTTCTCTTTGTTTTTTTCTTGTCCCTCTTCTTTTTTTCGTGTTTCTCTTCTTTTTTTTTTTTTCGTCTCGTCTTTTTTCTTTTCTTTCCCTCTTCTTTTTCTATGTCTCTTTTTCTATTCTCTGTCCCTCTTCTTTTTCGTGTTTCGTCTCGTCTTTTCCTTTTCTTTTCTTCTCTATGTCTCTCTTTCTCTATTCTTGTCCCTCTTCTTTTTTTCGTGTTTCGTCTCGTCTTTTCCCTTTTCTTTTTCTTCTCTATGTCTCTCTTTCTCTTTTCTTGTCCCTCTTCTTTTTTTCGTGTTTTGTCTCGTCTTTTCCCTTTTCTTTTTCTTTCTCTTTTTTCTTGTCCCTCTTCTTTTTTTGTTTTTCGTCTCTCTTTTCTTTTCTTTTTCTTGTCTCTCTTTTCTTTTCCCTTTTTTTTTTCGTGTTTCGTCTCGTCTTTTCCCTTTTTCTTTTTCTTCTCTATGTCTCTTTTCTCTTTTCTTGTCCCTCTTTTTTTTTCGTGTTTCGTCTCGTCTTTCCCTTTTCTTTTTTCTTCTCTATGTCTCTCTTTCTCTTTTTGTCTTGTCCTCGTCTTTTCTTTTTTTTTTCTTCGTGTTTCGTCTTGTCCCTCTTCTTTTTTCGTGTTTCTTTTTTTTTCTTTTCTTTTTAAAATCTATGTCTCTCTTTTCTCTTTTTCTTGTCCCTCTTCTTTTTTTTCGTGTTTCGTCTCGTCTTTTCCCTTTTCTTTTTCTTCTCTATGTCTCTCTTTCTCTTTTTCTTGTCCCTCTTCTTTTTTTCGTGTTTCGTCTCGTCTTTTCCCTTTTCTTTTTCTTCTCTATGTCTCTCTTTCTCTTTTCTTGTCCCTCTTCTTTTTTTCGTGTTTTGTCTCGTCTTTTCCCTTTTCTTTTTCTTCTCTATGTCTCTCTTTCTCTTTTCTTGTCCCTCTTCTTTTTTTCGTGTTTCGTCTCAAATTCTTTTCCCTTTCTCTTTTCTTTTCTTGTCCCTCTTCTTTTTTCTCTCTTTCTCTTTTCTTGTCCTCTTTCTTCTTTTTTTTTTTTTTCATTTCGTCTCGTCTTTTCCCTTTTCTTTTCTTCTTTTTTTTCTCTTTTCTTTTTTCTTGTCCCTCTTCTTTTTTTTGTTTCGTCTCGTCTTTTCCCTTTTTCTTTTTCTTCTCTATGTCTCTTTTCTCTTTTCTTGTCCCTCTTCTTTTTTTCGTGTTTCGTCTCGTCTTTTCCTTTTTCTTTTTTTCTCTATGTCTCTTTTCTCTTTTCTTGTCCCTCTTCTTTTTTTTTTCGTTTCGTCTCGTCTTTTCCCTTTTTTTTCTTCTTATGTCTCTTTTCTCTTTTCTTGTCCTCTTCTTTTTTTTTTCATTTCGTCTTTTTCTTTTCCTTTTCTTTTCTTGTCTCTCTTTTCTTTTCTTGTCCCTCTTCTTTTTTTTCTTGTTTCCTCTTTTCCTTTTTTTTTTTTCTATGTCTCTTTTCTTTTTCTTGTCCCTTTGTTTTCTCTTCTTTTTCCTTTTATTTTCTTCTCTCTGTCTCTCTTTTCTTGTTGTCCCTCTTCTTTTTTTCGTGTTTCGTCTCGTCTTTTCCTTTTCTTTTTTTTCTTCTATGTCTCTCTTTGTCTTTTTTTGTCCCTCTTTTTTTTTGTTTCTTCTTTTTTTTCGTGTTTTTTTTTGTCCCTCTCTTTTCTCTCTTTTTCTTTTTTTTCTTTCCCTCTTCTTTTTTTTGTCCTTTTCTCTTTTCTTTTCCTTTTTTCTTTTTTTTCCTGTTCTCTTTTTCTTTCTTTCCCTCTTCTTTTTTTCGTGTTTCTCTCGTCTTTTCCTTTTTTTTTTCTTCTCTATGTCTCTCTTTCTCTTTTCTTGTCCCTCTTCTTTTTTCGTGTTTCGTCTTTTCTTTTCCCTTTTCTTTTTCTTCTTGTCTGTCTTTTCTCTTTCTTGTCCCTCTTCTTTTTTCGTGTTTCGTCTCGTCTTTTCCTTTTCTTTTCTTTTCTCTCTTTATGTTCTTGTCCCTCTCTTTTTGTCCCCTTCTCTCGTCTTTTTTTTTCGTTTTTCTCTCTCGTCTTTTCCCTTTCTTTTTTTCTTCTATGTCTCTTTTCTTTTTTTTTGTCCTTTTCTCTTTTTTTTTCCCTTTTCTTTTTCGTGTTTGTCTCGTCTTTTCCCTTTTCTTTTTTCTCTATGTCTCTCTTTCTCTTTTCTTGTCCCTCTTCTTTTTTTCGTGTTTTCGTCTCGTCTTTTCCCTTTTCTTTTTTTAACTCTATGTCTCTCTTTCTCTTTTCTTGTCCCTCTTCTTTTTTTCGTGTTTCGTCTCGTTTTCTTTTTTTTCCTCTATGTCTTTTTCTTTTTTTCTTGTCCTTTTCTTTTTTAAAAAATCTTTTTCTTTTCTTGTCCTCTTCTTTTTTTTTTTTGTCCTCTTCTTTTTTTCGTGTTTCGTCTCGTCTTTTCCTTTTCTTTTTCTTCTCTATGTGTCTCTTTCTTTTCTTGTCCCTCTTCTTTTTTTCGTGTTTCTCGTCTTTCTTTTTTTCCCTTTATTTTTTTCTTTCTCTTTTCTTGTCCTCTTTTTTTTTGTTTCGTCTCGTCTTTTTTTTTTTTTTTCTCTTTTCTCTCTTTCTTTTTCTTGTCCCTTCTTTTTTTCCTTTTCGTTTTCTTTCCCTTTTCTTTTTTCTTTCTATTTCCTTTTTCTTTTCTTGTCTTTCTTTTTTCTGTTTCTCTTTTCTTTTCTTTTCCTTTTTCTCTTTTTTTTCTTTTCTTTTTCTTTTTTCGTATGTCTTTCTTTTCTTTTTCTAAACTTCTTTTGTCTCTCTTTCTCTTTTTGTCCCTCTTCTTTTTTTTTTCGTGTTTTTTCGTTTTTCAGAGCTTTTCCCTTTCTCTTTTTTTTCTTCCTCTCTTTTTTTTCTCTTTTTCTTTTCTTGTCCCTCTTCTTTTTTTTTCTTGTCTTTTTTTTTTTTTCGTCTTTCATCGTCTTTTCCCTTTTTCTTTTTTCTTCTCTATGTCTCTTTTCTTTTCTTGTCCCTCTTTTTCGTGTTTCGTCTCGTCTTTTTTTCTTTTTTTTCTTTTCTCTCTCTTTCTCTTTTCTTGTCCCTCTTCTTTTTTCTTCTTCTTCTCTTTCTTTTTTTTCTTTTTCTTTTCTTGTCCCTTTGTCTTTTCTTTTTCTTTTTCTTTTTGTCTCGTCTTTTCTTTTTTTTTTTTTTTTTTTTTCTCTGTCTTTCTTTTCTTTTCCCTTTTTCTTTATTCTTTCTCTTTTCTTGTCCCTTTTTTTTTTTTTTGTTTTTCGTCTCGTCTTTTTTCCTTTCTTTTTTCTTTCTCTATGTCTCTTTTTTTTCTTTTCTTGTCCCTCTTCTTTTTTTCGTGTTTCGTCTCGTTTTCTTTTCCCTTTTCTTTTTCTTCTCTATGTCTATCTTTCTTTTCTTGTCCCTCTTTTTTTTTTTCGTTTCGTCTTTTCCTTCTTTTTTTTTTTCTATGTCTCTCTTCTTTTTTTTTCTTTTTTCTTTTCCTTTTCTTTTTTTTTTTTCCCGTTTTCTTTTTCGTCTCGTCTTTTCTTTTTCCTTTTTTTTCTTTTTCTCTTGTCTCTCTTTTTCTCTTTTTTGTTGTCCCTTTTTTTTTTTTTTTTGTTTTCTTCTCGTCTTTTCCCTTTTTCTTTTCTTCTCTATGTTTCTCTTTCTTTTTTCTTTTCTTTTCTTTTTCCTTTTTTTTTTCGTGTTTTTCTCGTCTTTTCCCTTTTCTTTTTCTTTCTTATGTCTCTCTTTCTCTTTTTCTTGTCCCTTTTCTTTTTTCGTGTTTCGTCTCGTCTTTTCCTTTTTCTTTTTCTTCTCTATGTCTCTCTTTCTCTTTTCTTGTCCCTCTTCTTTTTTTTCGTGTTTCGTCTCGTCTTTTTCCCTTTTCTTTTTCTTCTCTATGTCTCTTTTTCTTTTCTTTTCTTTTTTTCCCTTTTTCTTTTTTTTTCTTGTTTCGTTTCTCGTCTTTTCCCTTTTTTTTCTTCTCTATGTCTTTTCCTTTTCTTTTCTTTTTTTCTTTGTCCTCTTCTTTTTTTCGTGTTTCGTCTCTCGTCTTTTCCCTTTTCTTTTTTTTTCTCTATGTCTCTTTTCTCTTTTCTTGTCCCTCTTCTTTTTTTCGTGTTTCGTCTCGTCTTTTCCCTTTTCTTTTTTTCTCTATGTCTCTCTTTCTTTTTCTTGTCCCTCTTCTTTTTTTTTTTGTTTCGTCTCGTCTTTTCCCTTTTCTTTTTCTTCTCTATGTCTCTCTTTCTCTTTTCTTGTCCCTCTTCTTTTTTTTTCTCGTGTTTCGTCTCGTCTTTTCTCTTTCTCTTTTCTTTTTCTTGTCCTCTTCTTTTTCTTTTCGTCTTGTCTTTTCCTTTTCTTTTTTTCGTGTTTCTTTCTCTCTTCCCTTTCTTTTTTCCTTTTTTTCTTCTTTTTTTCTTCTCTTTTGTCTCTTTTTTTTTCTTTTTTTCTTTTTCTTGTCCCTCTTCTTTTTTTTTCGTGTTTCGTCTCGTCTTTTCCCTTTTCTTTTTCTTCTCTATGTCTCTCTTTCTTTTTTCTTTCCCTCTTCTTTTTTTTCGTGTTTCGTCTCGTCTTTTTCCTTTTTTTTTTTCTTCTCTATGTCTCTTTTTCTTTTCTTGTCCCTCTTCTTTTTTTTTTCTCGTCTTTTCCCTTTTCTTTTTTTAATCTATGTCTCTCTTTCTCTTTTTCTTGTCCTCTTCTTTTTTCGTGTTTCGTCTCGTCTTTTCCCTTTTTTTTTCTTCTCTATGTCTCTTTTTCTTTTCTTGTCCCTCTTCTTTTTTTCGTGTTTCGTCTCGTCTTTTTCCCTTTTCTTTTTCTTCTCTATGTCTCTTTTCTCTTTTCTTGTCCCTCTTCTTTTTTTTCGTGTTTTGTCTCTTCTTTTCCTTTTCTTTTTCTTCTCTATGTCTCTCTTTCTCTTTTTCTTGTCCCTCTTCTTTTTTCGTTTTTTGTCTCTTCTTTTTCCCTTTTTTTTTCTTCTCTCTTTTCCCTTTTCTTTTTTTCTTTTTTTTTGTTTGTCTCTCTTTTTCCCTTTTCTTTTTTTTTGTCCCTCTCTTCTTTTTTTTGTCCCTTCGTTTTTTTCTTTTCCTTTTTTTTTTTTTTTTTCTATGTCTCTTTTCTCTTTTCTTGTCCCTCTTCTTTTTTTCGTGTTTCGTCTCGTCTTTTCCCTTTTCTTTTTTTCTCTATGTCTCTCTTTCTCTTTTCTTGTCCCTCTTCTTTTTTTTCGTGTTTCGTCTCGTCTTTTCCTTTTTTTTTTCTTATGTCTCTTTTCTCTTTTCTTGTCTCTTTTTTCTTTTCTCTCGTCTTTTCCCTTTCTTTTCTTGTCCCTCTTTCTTTTTCTTGTGTTTCGTTTCTCGTCTTTTTTCCCTTTTCTTTTTCTTCTCTATGTCTCTTTTTTTCTTTTTCTTGTCCCTCTTCTTTTTTCGTGTTTCGTCTCGTCTTTTCCCTTTTCTTTTTTTCTTCTCTATGTCCCTCTTTTTCTTTCTCTTTTTTTTTCTCTTTTCCTCTTTTCCCTTTTCGTGTTTTTGTCTCTATGTCTTTTCTTTTCTTTTCTTTTCTTCTCTATGTCTCTTTCTTTTCTCTTTTCTTTTCCCTTTCTCTTTTTTTCGTGTTTTGTCCCTCTTCTTTTTTCCTTTTTTCCTTTTTTTTTTCTCTATGTCTCTCTTTCTCTTTTTCTTGTCCCTCTTTTTTTTTTTCGTGTTTCGTCTCGTCTTTTCCCTTTTTCTTTTTCTTCTCTATGTCTCTCTTTCTCTTTTCTTGTCCCTCTTTTTTTTCGTGTTTCTTTTTTTCTCGTCTTTTCATTTTTCTTTTTTTCTTCTCTATGTCTCTCTTTCTTTTTCTTGTCCCTCTTCTTTTTTCGTGTTTCGTCTTTTGTCTCTTTTTCCCTTTTTTTTTCTTTCTCTATGTCTCTCTTTCTCTTTTCTTGTCCCTCTTCTTTTTTTTTCGTGTTTTTGTCTCGTCTTTTCCCTTTTCTTTTTCTTCTCTATGTCTCTCTTTCTCTTTTCTTGTCCCTCTTCTTTTTTTCGTGTTTCGTCTCGTCTTTTCCCTTTTCTTTTTCTTCTCTATGTCTCTCTTTCTCTTTTTCTTGTCCCTCTTCTTTTTTTCGTGTTTCGTCTCGTCTTTTCCCTTTTCTTTTTCTTCTCTATGTCTCTCTTTCTCTTTTCTTGTCCCTCTTCTTTTTTCGTGTTTCGTCTCGTCTTTCCTTTTCTTTTCTTCTCTATGTCTCTCTTTCTCTTTTTCTTTTCCCTTGTCGTCTCGTCTTTTTTTCTTGTTTCCTCTTCTTTTTTCTTTTGTCTCGTCTTTTTCCTTTTTCTTTTTTCTCTATGTCTCTTTTCTTTTTCTTGTCCCTTTCTTTTTTCTGTTTCGTTTTTTTCCCTTTTCTTTTTTTCTCTATGTTTCTTTCTCTTTTCTTGTCCTCGTCTTCTTTTTCCTTTTCTTTTTCCCGGTCTTTTTCTTTTTCTTGTCCCTCGTTTTTTCTTTTTGTCTCCATTTTATTTTCTTCTTGTTTTTTTTCTTTTTTTCTCCTTCTCTTTTGTCTTTCTTTTCTTTTTTCTCTCGTCCATTTTTTTTCTTTTTTTTTTTTTTTTTTCCCTTTTTCTTTTTTCTTCTCCTCTTTCTTTTTCTTTTCTGTCTTTTTTTTTTTTCTCGTCTCTTTCTTTTCCACTTTTTTTTTTTCTTTTTTTCATATTTATTCATGGATATAATCGCCTCCTTATAGCAACAAAGTCTTGAAAAATATCTTTTGACCTTCGTCACTCCTCCGACTTGAAGTGAACAAATTTAACAAAGAACATTATCCATAACGTTTACATTCTTTCAAACAGACCTCCATACCAGCCAACACCCACACGTATGTATATATATATATATATATATATATATATATATATATATATATATATATATATATATATATATATTAAGCCACATATTTCTTTTGGTTTTCTTTCTCATCATATATCATATATATATATATATATATATATATATATATATATATATGTGTGTGTGTGTGTGCATGTTTTTGTGTGTGTCTATATGTGTGCAGGGTGTATATACACACAAATATATATATACATATATATAAATAAACATATATATATATATATATATATATATATATATATATATATATATATATATATATATATATATAGTCTTCCACATAAAAACTTTTCGCTGTATCACACACATGCACATGTGTTCGTATATATACATCTGTGTGTTTGTGTATATGTATATATATACACACACACAAACATATATATATATATATATATATAGATAGATAGATAGATAGATAGATAGATAGATAGATACATACGTGTGTGTTCGTATATATATATATATATACATCTGTGTGTGTTTGTGTATATATATATATATATATATATATACACACACAAATATATATATGTGTGTGTGTGTGTGTGTTTGTGTGTGTGTGTATTGATAAAGAAGATCAATACTTGAAAATGCCCCACCCGTACGAACAAGCACAATAGAGTACGCGCACTCTTTTCAATCGCGGATGTATACGACGGCGAAACGCATCACAACTTTATAAGCAATGCAAATCTATTCAAAGTTTAAAATATACTAAGCAACGCGCTTTACGCTCGTCAAAGAAGGAGAATCCGCATATTTTTAGAGCCAGCCTTTGAAATTATCAACACAATACAATGTTTCTCTTAATAGTGAGACAACTCGGTTTGAAATGAATAAATTATAATTCTTAAACGCTTTCATCAAGTGGACAAGGGTCGGAAAATAGTTTTTCGTTCTTTTCTTTTACTAGAAAACGCTACAATAGAAGCTAACCATTTCAAAGGGCAGGGATCGTGGCGGAGGAAAGTGGAAAGTCCAGAACAAAGGAAACAGAAACACAATGCCAACATTGTAAGGTTTCAGTGTTCCTTCATATGGTAATTGGAATTCCACGAGAAATACAGACAGTGACAACTCGTCATAAGTGACATTTCCTTCTGGTTATATATTTAATGAGACATATCCCGTTGAGGAGGACGAAGGTGAAGATTTTGTTTCGTCTTCTTGTGGCCAGAACTCCTATTCAAAGATCGAACACAGACTGCTAGCATTGGGGAAAATATCAGTAATATTTCGCACTCCGCCATTTCTTTTCTCGCACTTACACGATATCAATCTCTTTTTTTTATTGATGAATTTTAAATAATTCACAAAAGCCAGACGATGAAGACACAAGGGTTTACTAAGTATGTAAGGATCTGAGAAAAAAAAATAAAGGAGAGAGAATAATGAAAGAACAAGAGTTAAGAAGATAACGATTGACATTGCATTGAAATTTTTGAAGATCAATTTTGACTGGAAAGTAAAAAGAGTGAAAGAGAATTAGAAGACTTTAGTGAGGGGAAAGGACAATAAAAGAAGAGGAATTAAGAAGACAGAAGATAACGATTGACATTGCATTGAAATTTTTGAAGATCAATTTTGACTGGAAAGTCAAAAGAGTGAAAGAGAATTAGAAGACTTTAGTGAGGGGAAAGGACAATAAAAGAAGAAGAATTAAGAAGACAGAAGATAACGATTGACATTGCATTGAAATTTTGAAGATCAATTTTGACTGGAAAGTCAAAAGAGTTTAAAGACTTTAGTGAGGGGAAAGGACAATAAAAGAAGAAGAATTAAGAAGACAGAAGATAACGATTGACATTGCATTGAAATTTTGGAAGATCAAAGTTAACTGGGAAGTAAGAATCTAGAAGAGATTATCACAAAGGAAAGGTGTAAGAAAGGAAACTGTTAGCTTAGAACATATGGTTCGCCGTTGGCTTCATCTCATATCCAAGTTTTTAATTTTTTCTTTGATGATGGTGTTGTTGCCAACGCGCAGAATCACCCAAGCCTGCTCCCGTCATCCATTTTCTATCGGTGTTTGGCTTGGTTGACTAAAAGAAAATCATTCAAGAAGAAAGTGTCGATGGCATGAATTCCTTTAACGTGGAAAACAATTTTCCAGGAAGGTCACTTAGGATTACATCGTAGCAAAATGATGAGACGTAGTTGCCAATCAAGTACTGCGCTTAAATTCGGGGTATGAATCAGGAAAAGTCATCATAACAATTACCATGAAATATTAAGAGGAAAGGCAAGATTCTTCTTCGGATTTTATCAAGAATATATATCAGATGCTAGAGAGCATTTGTCGCAGCAATTTTCTATATCTTGACGAACGAGAGACTATATATATAATGATTTATTTAAAAAAAATGTATAAAATCACTACAAAAATAGCCATTTTGTTTCAACACCTCAGTGTCTTATCAAGATGATGTTGAACGTAAAATAAATACTTGGGTATATATATATATATATATATATATATATATATATATATATATATATATATATATATATATATTTAAAAAAAAATATACACTAGAAACATCTGACAACAGTTTTATAAATCAGGATCACATCATTCAATGGATTAACAGTATTTTAATGCATACATTATGTTCTACTAGCGAAGCGATTTCGCCATTAATCGCATTAATATTGCTGATTGATTCTATGTATGATTATTTCTCTCGTTCTCTCTCTCTCTCTCTCTATATATATATATATATATATATATATATATATATATTATATATATAACCTTGTGAAATTAATTTAAACAAAACAAATACTTCCGTTGTTATTTATTTTTTTTATTCTTTTCTAATCAAACATGACCCAGTGTACATGTTAATACCACGTATACCCATTCTACGAAATCGTTTCTTGCAGATTGACAACAGATTCTCGATTGGATTTAAATCAGGAGATTTTCCGGGCCAGTCTATAGTACTTTGTTCTTCTCACTGGTAAGTCTTGCCAATGTGTTCGTGCAGTGTTACAAAATTTCGTAAGCTTCCTTGGAGTAACGTCCATCGCAAACAATGGCCGTAAGACAACTAATCGACAGTTGAGTCAATAGTGTCTGGGCGTGATAAAAATCTGATGTACTCACGGATGACGCAATATTTTTCAAGGCCAAACGAATTTCATCATACATCCCGAAAACAGATTCATATTACTGCACACCACTGCAAATGACGTAATCTGAGGAAAAAATAAAAAAACTGATTACACCCTGTCACTCCAGAGGGTCTGTTTGAGCGATTTCAACATATTTTTGTTTTAATATCTAAAATAATATAAGAATAATATATTGCTCTACTTTGTATTGTGCACTTTTTAAAATAGATGCTACGAATAGCGGAATTTTATTCCATCTGTTTCTTTTATTATATATATATATATATATATATATATATATATATATATATATATATATATAAGGAAATATAGTCTTAAGGTGTGTTATATTTATGGGATAAAAATGCTCGATATCAGAGTGTGTAAATATAAAAGTGAACATAAAATCAACACTTCTAGAGGCCTGACGATTGCATATAGCATGAAACAGACTGTTGCCTCTAAGTGTTGAATTCTATGTTCACTTATATATATATATATATATATATATATATATATATATATATATATATACACGCACACACACACATATATATATAGATATATATATATACAAAGAAATATAGCGTAAATATAAAAGTGTATATTGGAGTCAACACTCAGAGGCCTCTGAGTGTTAACTTCAATGTTCACCTTTATATATATATATATATATATATATATACGAGAATCATCTGAAAGTAACGATCTCTGGACGAAAGAGGGATAATCGGATTGTATCATAATCTGACATGATATCTTGGTAGCATATAACTGTAGTCTTAGCTTTTTGTAACCATTGCATTTTTTTTACATGCGAGAGATGTGGCGGTACTAACCGTGGCCGCTTAACCATCACTATGCCCTGAGCATCCGGCATTTCCTGGCCGTCATGTACATCGCCGTACTGGAACAACCTATCTATTTATGTGATCCTACTCCGTGTTAATTCTTTTTTTCCCAAAGTCAAAGGGATCATCATGGCGTGGATGCTATCGAGGGTGGGGGTGAGTGTGCATCCAAGAAAAATCCTTACATCAGTGCATAGAAGCGTAGCAGAAAAGGACGCAAACGTGAATTAGACTCGATGTGGGATTTACTTTGAAGGGGTAACCATGTAGTTTATTCTTTTTCGAACTGAAATAATTTGACACACCAGTTACTTTTCATTCAAATATATATATATATATATATATATATATATATATATATATATATATATATATATATATATGCGTTTAAATGACTGAGAAAATTTGACTGGATGTATTTGTGCGTGAATATGTGTATCCGTTTATGTATCTAGTTGCATGTGAGGTGTTACTTTTTAAACATCGTATCTGCCTTTTTATTTTTTGTATATATATATATACATTTACGTGTAGATGTGGAAGCGACTCTATGCTGTTGTGTGTGTATTTTTTGAGTTGGGAAGGACATAACAGTGTTGAAAAACTTGAAAGAAGAAAAAAAGCACGGCCGCTAAAAAAAGAAAAAAATAAATAAATAAATAAATAAAATAAAAACGTGAAAAATGTCAAGGAAACAAACAAGGAAAAACCCGGATGTCTCAAAGAAAAAAAAAAGAAAAGATTCTGGAGATTGTTCTGGAAGATTGTAGACCTTACCTTGCATAATCTGTTGGGCCACGTGTCGAGGAGAATACGAAATGGTAGTCTCCGAGGACATAGCCGCTATGCTG